GGGGGGGGGGGGGTTAGATGGCGAGAGACAGCAGAGGAGCGTTTCACAGAACACACCGGAGGCCGTTTTTGAGTGTGAAGAGCAGGCAGCGATGAGCGTCTGTAAGCATCTCCCACCTCCTCTCTCAGACTCAGAACACCCCGTCCTTTCCACCTCCTCTCTCACTTCTACCCTTCCTGTAACCATAGAGACCACCATTGCCTGAAGAGAGGTTTTCTCCCAGACAGACGTGGTGGTGTCAAGTGAGGATGCTGGATGTACGTGTGCACAAAAGCACACAGCTCAATTTATAGACCGCCCGCCTGAACAGTCTTTGTAAAAGCTTCTTTCAGCTGGGGACATGTATTGTACCTTCGCACAGATGCAAAGAACAACAGGATGTGGATGCCAATCAAATTACACGCTTGTCATAACAGGCTGCTTATTCGAGGAAGCTTTAATTTAAGTTTGACCATCTGCAGCATTATGCATGGAAAATGCAGATTGCAGGCCAGTTTTGTTGTACAATGTATTTGGTATTGCTGTGTGGATCTTTTTGTTTCTCTCATCGGTGTCTTTACAGCTTGATTCATAAAGCAGTGTCCCTCCACGTGACCTGTCCAGGGAGTATAGATCAGTCTTGCTGCTCTCAGAGGGTTCATGTACTACATATTGTCCCTGATCACTGAGTCGAATTGGTAAATACCAACTGAGAGACATTCAGTTCCCTTTATTGAACATAGTCTCCTTCGTGCAGCCCAGCTCTGTACCTCCCTCCTCCAGCAGCCCAAGAGACCCATTCCTAATCACTGACTCATAAAAAGAAATGCTTTTGACATTAACAGCCACCACATAACACAGGCAATAAGGCGAGCTTGACACTGCAGAAGTGCAGCACGATTGTTATTAAGATGGCACAGAGCAAGGGTATTAAAAATATGAAAACTGTGTTGGATGTAGAGTACAGTCTGAAGGTCTGAGAAATCTGCCTTTATCCTCATATCACCAATATGTACCACCATTTGTGTATATAAGTCCAGTTATGACATGACATGCCTGGTTGTTTAGTAATACCATCAGCGTCAGTAACTTGTATTACATTGCGAACACTACTTTATAAGGAAGCCAAGTGGTGTGGCACACAGCGTATCTTCTAGTGCGTGTGCTTTTTCAGACTGCAGTTTTTGTACCAAACAAAGACAGATGAAACAACCAGAGTACATAGTCAAGAAGATTTAAGTAGCAGAGCAAATTAAAATAACATCTCTTTGGCAGAAACAAGAAAAGCACTTTTGGCTGGACATAAAAACAATACTGGCAAACGTTCTGGTACTAAACATGAACACTTCATACAGGCAGCCACTGTATTCATCTGTATATGTACAGCAGCTTGAAATGAGTTAAACTGACTTTAGATTGTAGCTTGTAGCTAGATGCTAGCATCAAAAGCTGACTTTAGGAGTTGTACCAGGCATTGAACCCTGCCTACCAGCTTTCCTGGTATGTCCCCCACCCCGTTTTAACAAGGTACTACTAAACGTATAGGCCTATTAGATATGTCCTTCAACTTCCTCCAAATAATCTGTGGACCCTTCAACTTTTTTCTGTTAGGTTCCACATGCAGGTGTAAAACTCACACCTAAAGCCCAGTGTTGAATTCTGATTCATGAATTCTGCTTCAATAAATATGTGCAACTTCCTCTCAGATCAAGACTAGAACAGATGTGTTGAAAATCAACAAGCAAGTTATATAAAAAGCAACAAGGCATAAACATGAGAAGAAAGAAAGCAAAGTGCAAGTAAAGATTAGAGGTTAGCACATAACATTTCCTATGCTTCTGACTGGTTGTACAACCCTTCATTGAACATAATCAGTCAAAAGTTATTTTCACAAATGCACAGTGAGGTCTGATGAATAGTCATTGTCTGTCACACGAAGCCCTCGCTGATAAGATATGTAGCTCTTGCTCATATAACAGCAACAGCGATTGAGTACCAGTGTCACTACTTGAAATCATTGTGCTCCAGAAAGTTTTTCACTGTGCAGAACAGAGATTTAATGTCACTCTGTTTTCCACGGAAGACTAACGTCCTCCCAGATCTCCAGCATAAGTTTCAGGTCAAGTCATGGTTAACGGATAATGTGCAGGTATCTGAGGTCCGGATATAGGAGATTGGCTAGCAGGGCCAGCAGTCGGGGTCCATCTCTGAGACAATGTCCTGGGTAGCGGATGAATTGGACAACTTTGTTCACAGAGTCCTCTAGCTCAGCATACTGCTTATTGCCGGGCATGGCCTCCAACATCCCCAATGTCTGCATCCACAGAAAAGACGACAAGTTATTTTTGGGAGATAATTGCAGGCTAGAAAATGAAAACACTGTATTTGTAGTTTTTGTTGCATACTTGCTGTGCTTTGGCGGAGAGCTGCAAGTCACTGGTGGGTTGCAGTCGAAGCTCGGTCTCTGATGACACCTGGACTGACAGGAATGCTGCCAGACTGCGTACCACCACCCTGAATCTGGGTGGTTTATCAACGATAATCAATTATTATTTCATACTATCTGGCGTAAATTTTTATAGTTACCGTAGTGTAAATAAAATGCATGTGAGCTTACCTGTTAGAAACAGGAGACCTCTTCCCCAGGCCTATAGCTCCTAACAGCCCAGAGTTCAGTCTTTCTTCTCCCAGCTGAAGCAGCCTGGTCTGCAACCTCAACAGACCCATCACAACTCCTGACACTTCAGTCTGGCCTGACTGCGGCTGCAGCTGCTCCGCTGACAGATTCAGTGCTTTGTGCCACCAAAGAAACAGCTTGGCTTCATCACCTGGACCACTGGACACACAAAACACACAATAGCATGTATAATACACTTGCAAAGTACACATGCTGACATGCTTAATGGACCTTTAAAATCCGTAAGAGGCAACCAAATGAGTGAATGAGCGGATCAAACCTGGGGAAGACCTGATTGGTCCATGTGTTAATTAGAGCCAGAGTCCTCCTCTCATTGGTTGCTGTGTACTCAGTGTTGAGGCGCTGCAGGATGAAGGCATAGAGCGTCAGGAAGCTGCCACCTGATTGGCTCTCAGAGAGGAAGTCATCCACTGTGAGCTCAGGCACCTGCAGCGATACCAACACAGGACCCCAACCTACAGAGTCCTCCTCAGCTGAAATGAAAACACAGACAGTGGAAAAACACATGAATCCTTGATATCGCATTAAACTATCTTTACTAAAGAGAGAGATTTAGAGAGAGAGAACACATTCCTCTTGCTGTAACAGTAAGTCATAAACTGTACAAGATGACAACTTTCCCACACAAAAAAGTAGTTCCTCAGTAATCCTCAGTTAAATAAAATGGGTACGAAAAAAAACTTAACTTTGGTTACCATGATTGAAGTACGCTGTAATGCATGCCTCCATGATACGCGTCATGTGTCGTACTGATGCAAGACAGCGGGAGCACGCCGTGAGAAGAGGCAGGATAGGAAAGCCCCTCCCCTTCCTGTCCAGCCAGGTAATGACGTGAGCAGAGAGTGCCTCGCCTGTTGAGACACCAACTCCATTCAGCAAAGCCAGAGCGTCGCTGAACAGACTGCAGAACGCCATGTGCCTCTGTT